TGGCTCACGCCTGTAATCCCAGCACTTTGGGAGGCCGAGGTGGGTGGATCACGAGGTCAAGAGATCGAGACCATCCTGGTCAACATGGTGAAACCCCGTCTCTACTAAAAATACAAAAAACTAGCTGGGCATGGTGGGGCGTGCCGGTAATCCCAGCTACTCGGGAGGCTGAGGCAGGAGAATTGCCTGAACCCAGGAGGCGGAGGTTGCGGTGAGCCGAGATCACGCCATTGCACTCCAGCCTGGGTAAGGGGGAGCGAAACTCCGTCTCAAAAAAAAAAAAAAAAAAAAAAAAAAGATACTAGATTGAGGGTGGGCCTTAAACCTACGTAGTCTGACTCCAGAACCTGTCATCTTCACCGTTGTTTTATTGGTGGGTGAATGGATTGATGAGTGCAGTGAACAAAAGTTGTAACTATCCATTTCACAAACAGCTTTGTGGTTGCAGTGGTGCGATCTCAGCTCCCTGTAACTTCCGCCTCCCAGGTTCAAGTGATTCTCCTGCCTCAGCCTCCCAAGCAGCGACTACTGGCACCCACTGCCACACCCAGATAAATTTTTGTATTTTAATAGAGACAGGGTTTCGCCGTGTTGCTCAGGCTGGTTTCATACTGAGTTCAGGCAATCCGCTCGCCTCACCCTCCCAAAGTGCTAGGATTACAGGCATGAGCCACTGCACCCAGCCAAGCTGGGTCTTTTGAATGGCTATGGAGTATTCAGTGAGGCGGCCCTAGGTGATATCATAACACCTCTGTTTGTCCAGAAGGCTGTTAGTGTACGTGCTATCCTGTTAGAATCCTTGTGCCAAAAATAGAAATAGGAAAGGCAAAGGAGGTTATATCCCTAGATTGCCAAAATGGTGATTCAGAATTGCTTGAGATACTGGTTTACTGCCTACAGTCATGTCAAATATGTTATGATGAGCACGTGTCTGGAAGTTTATGGAGCAAAGGTAAGGATTATGGATTGGGGCAGCGTTGCCTCAAGAGCAGAAGGCAGAGACATCAAAAATGGCATTACCAGTCTTAGTATCCTTTTCTAGATATTCCATTGCTGCTTGCACTAAGTTGAGACTTTCTTTGCAGCGAAGAATGAGGGAAACATTTAAAAGGTAATAACTTTCCCCTCATGTGATCCAGTCTTCTTTAATGCCATGTCATGTGCCAACAAAAGTCTCATATAGCATCAGTGGTACAGGCTCTTGCTCAGGAAATACGTGTAAAAGAGGGGAGCTGCTGGACTTAGGGGATCTGGGGTCTAGTGTTGATTCTGTCACTGTGAGACCTTGAAAGTCACACAAACTAAGTTTCCTCTTGTGGTTTTTTTTCTCCATGGAGTGTAATGGAAATAAGACATGATGTCAGTACGCATGAACAACTGCTTGAACTATGTGTGCTCGTTTAAGCATTAACAGAAAGTGCCTTTGGACAAAAGCTTTGGAGACATGAAACACAGGCCCCAGCTGGATGTGGAAACGGGTGAGGAAGTACATGCCATTTGACAAGTACCTCTCGAAGACAGTTATGAACAGTCCTCATCGGGTGTGAATCGGGGGGTGGATTGATTGCTAAGGACTTTAGACTTGATAAGGCAGAGCCTTGGAGGCCATTTCAGATAGAAAGTCTTCAAGCATCTGTCTACTCTGGTAGGGTTGGAGGGTGGAGGGCCAGGAATGCCCCGCCAAGTAAAGTGTGATGCCCGAGAAGGTTCTGAATTCAGGATTCCACCTGGCTCCCCTGTGCCCCGCTGTCTCTCAGGTGTGTGGAGTGTTTCTCGGTGCTCACTGCAAGGCCACCCTGAAAAGGCCCGGTGGGTGACTGTCAGGAGCTCAGGAATCTCCTGGCTCACTACTTCCAACGTGCCGAGGGCGACAGGGCTGCAGAGAACCCCGGAAGGTGTGCATTGTTTCCACGTTATTTGGAGTTGCCCACTTCGATGGGTTTTTTTTTTTTTTTTACTTCTCGGTCTCCCCCACCAACTAGCTGTGCCTTCTGCCCTGCAGGCACTCAAACATGCTGGGCAGGCCCGCCAGAGGACAGCAGCACTGACGTCCTTCCATCACCTCCTGCCCCTCGTGCCCTCCCCACATGCGATAACCAAATGGAACTTGTTACTTTTTCTTGGGGCTAGCTTTGGTCTCCCATGTTTTCGTTAGTTTGATTTCGTGCCTCTCAAAGCCATTTTCAGAGGCTCTGTGGTACTGGCTGTGGAGCCCTCATCCTGATGCGAGGTCGGGAAGGGGCACGCCCTGGGCGTAAACCAGAAGGAAGGGCTGGAGGAGTCCGGGAACCTTGGGATTGAAGTGTGGGCCTCAGTAGTCGAACTGTTTCTCTCCTGGCCTGGGAAGGAAGCAAGGGGTGAGAGGGTGGAAGTGGGGTCCATGCTGAGAAAGGGGTATAGGTGCCCAACATGATGGCGGTCCCCTCTCTCTATTTGTATTTGGGTGATAGGTACTAAAGAGCCTTTGCAGGGGAGAGAAGTCACACAGGGGAGCCCAGAGCCAGCTTTAATGGGGGAAAGGGGCACATGAGACAGTCCTCACAGTTTGACAAAAAAAAAACAGTGTGATCATTGTATGGACAGGAGCCTTGGTTGCATTTTGGCCCTGGCAGGGAGAGACACCATTCTCTTACAGTGTTCCCTGAGTGACCGCCAATCTGCAGCCGTCCAGGGAAGAGAGGGAGGGAGTGAAGAACATGTGTTTTGGACTCTGGGTTTGTTGTCATTGTTAGAGGCAGGGTCTCACTCTGTGCCCCAGGCTGGAGTGCAGAGGCCTGATCATGGCTCACTGCAGCTTCCACCTCCACAGCTCAAGCGATCCTCCCACCTGAGCCTCCCAAGTAGCTGGGATTACAGGCTTACACCACCATGCCCATCTCCTTCTAGTTTTTTTCTAGATGAGGAAACTGAGCCACCAAAGATAAGTACTAGCAGTTCATGCGTGTGGCAGAGTCAGATTCAGCCCTGGCCGGACTGATTTCTGCATCCAGGAGGGGAGATAGAAATCTCAGGGTCTCAACAAGGTACAAATAACGCGCATTCCCAGAACATAGAGCCAGGGACAGTCCCCTCTCAGTTCTCTTCTAAAGGTGGTTCTGGTGCAGCAATTGATAAAGCTGTGTCCCTGAAGGGCTTTTTAGCCCCTGGTGCTTCCTGTAAAACTTGTCCGCTCCCGCTTGACCTGCGGGACTCTGTCCCTTACAGCTGAACACCTGGCCCTGCGGAGAGGACTTGAGGAAACAAGGTATAATAATGTACTTTTTCCCGTCCACAGATGGATCTGTCTGTAGAAACCCTGTTCAGCTTCATGCAGGAGCGCCAGAAAAGATACGCCAAGTACGCTGAGCAGATCCAGAAAGTGAACGAGATGTCCGCCATCCTCCGCCGCATACAGATGGGCATCGACCAGACCGTGCCCCTGCTGGACAGGCTCAATAGCATGCTCCCTGAGGGCGAGCGGCTGGAGCCCTTCAGCATGAAGCCTGACCGCGAGCTTAGGCTGTAGCTGCTTGGGGCCCGGAGCCTGCGACACCCAAACCTTGAGGATGTTTGGAGCCAAAGTTGTATCATCTGACCAGGGCTGGAGTGATAGCGCGAGGCTCTGGTACTCCCTGAAGCGGGTGTGAAGGAGTCCGGCTGGCGTGAAAATCCGACTTTGCCCAACCCTTTTCCTTGATGCAATTTCCCTGTGTGAAAGGAACCAAACCAATTCTCAGTGATAACTGAAGCTGGAACATGTGACTTATTAGGAATTCTTTGACGAACTCTGCATCAAGAGTTATTTTTAGTTTTTTTTTTTTTTTTTTTTTTTTAATTGAGAGTATATAGTATAGTCCAGGTACTGGAATAAAAATATGGAGACAAGGGAAGAAATATGTTACGAAGCTCTGTGTTCTCAGTGCCCTGAGGTGAACTTTCAGTCGGCTCTCCGGCTTAGGTGTTGTAAACATGAAAATCTAATTGAATCTAGGTCTCTGTGTTGTTCCCGTTTCTGCCCTGCCTGTTTCCATCACACCAAGTCCGTATCTGGGGCGCGTCTTCCTGCCCAGGTGGAACACTGGCGTTTTGTTGTCTGCCAGGTTATGGTGTCCCTTAGTCGTCATCAGAAACCGAAGCCTCCCTTTCCACACCCTCATCAGATGCATCTCCACTGATAAACGGTTTCCTTGATGCAGACGTAGTTTAGCTTTCTTTCAACACTGGCAGGATTTCAGTTTTTGTAACAAGGTTTTAAGCAGCATGTGGTTTTACTAGCCTAGAAAACGTGTGAGATGAGAAGGCTCTGGACACTGACTGCAGAGATCTCTGATCCCACGGCATTTCTTGAGCCCATTTCATGTGTCCGATATTGTGCCTGGGTTACAAATACGGCCAGAGAGCCTCCGGCCTTCATTTCTGAAAAGAAGAAACTCAAAACGCTGCTGAATTTCTCTGGGAGCTTAGGAAAGGAAGTGATTTGAGTAACAACAGAAGTGCTTCGTGTAGTACTTTGCACACCATAGGTGTTCTGCTTGAAGGAAGGATGGGAGGAGCAAAGAATGGAATGTGGGGAGCACACCTAGGCAGACACCTTGAGACCAAGAGGCAGGGCTGAGGGGAGTCGCTGGGGCCGGGCTGCCATACAGGCCTGCGTCCTGTTCCCCGCGTTCCTCCAAGCCTTGGGAGGTGTGTTTTCAGATGCCAGAAAGAGCTTTCAGTAGATTCACAGGATTAAAATTGATCCAGTTAATTTAATGTATCTTGGCTAACCTTGATCTGATTCTAATCTTGCTGCGTTGCTCAGGCTGGAGTGCAGTGGCGCAGTCATAGCGCACTGCTGCCTCAAACTCCTGGGCCCCAGGGATCCTCCCGCCTCAGACTCCTGAGTAGCTGGGACTACAGGTGTGTGCCACCAAATCCAGCTAATTAAAAAAAATTCTTTTTTTTTTTTTGAGACGGAGTCTCGCACTGCCGCCTGGGCTGGAGTGCAATGGCGTGATCTCGGCTCACTACAACCTCCACCTCCCAGGTTCAAGTGATTCTCCTGCCTCAGCCTCCCAAGTAGCTGAGATTTCAGGTAAAAAAATCTTTTTAAATTTTATATTTTCAAATTTGAAAGAATAATACAATGAATATTCATATTTCTTTCATCTAGATTGACAGGAAGTGGTATTTTTAAGACATCACCGTCATTGTCTTTCTTCTGAGGTATACAAAACCCAGTTCTGAACACGGGATATGTTTATAACTTCAAAGAATGAAGGGTTGATTGTTTATAGAGCTACAAAAATAGCTCAGGTGCCGTTATCCTCACTGCACTTTTTTTTTTTTTTTTTTTTTGAGACCAAGCTTCGCTCTTGTTGCCCAGGCTGGAGTACAATGGTGCGATCTCGGCTCACCACAACCTCCACCTTCCAGGTTTGAGTGATTCTCCTGCCTCAGCCTCCTGAGTAGCTGGGATTACAGACATGGGCCACCATGCCCAGCTAATTTTGTATTTTTAGTAGAGACGGGGTTTCTCCGTGTTGGTCAGGGCTGGTCTTGAACTCCCAACCTCAGGCGATCCGCCCGCCTCGGCCTCCCAAAGTGCTGGGATTACAGGCATGAGCCACTGCACCTGGCCCTTACTGTATTAATATAGGTGACACGCGAAAGCACAGAGTGGGAGGCAGCTCAAGCCTGCGACGGCTGAGCTTATCCAGTGTTGCAGCAGTTAGTGGTTGGCACAGGGCAGAATGGCAGACCCAGCGCGGCACAAACTGCACAGCCAGCCAGCTCTCCAGCAACTGTCTCCTTCTAAGGAAGTTAGATAAAACATGGGGTTAACTTAGATTGGGGTCCTGAGTAGGTAGGTGATAGGCTACTTATTACTAGGTGGAAGCAGAGAAGTATGGCAGAAGAGCAATAGGAAAATTCAATATTTTTGCAAAGAATTCTAGCTTAATATTGATGGTGTGTCGTGGTTTTTGCAGTGTTGTCAACGTGGCTAAACTGAACTGTTTTCCCAGAATTCCCTTCTGTGTTTGCTTCTCTGGTGAGGGTTGGCCACGAGAGAGATTTGCATGAGATTTGGAAGTGGATGCAGAGTGATAGCCGTGCGTAGTCACTGAACGCTGATGTAGGTCAGGCCCTGTTCCATCTCTTGCATGGTTCCATGGATCTCCAGCACTTGTGTGGACAGCTGCTGGGCCCACAGCTCCTCCAGCTCCCACAGAATTCTGCCTTCGCCTTTTCCAAACCCTGGGCCAGGCATGAGGACCAGCTTCTCGGTCTCCAAACGCAAGGATGAAGGCTTGGGGATGAGGAGAGGCCGGCGCGGGCTGTGGTGAGAGGCAGGGGCAGGTCCTGGCTTGTTGCCTGCAAGTCTCGGTTGTCCTTACTCTCCCCCACCGTCCCTCCCGACAGAAACAGCAGAACCGAGACCTTTACCAGCCCCTGTATTGCTTAAGTCATATCCCTTTACCAGTCCTCTCATTCTACTTCCTCCCTAGTGGTTCTTCTCTGATTGAACCTCTGACTGGTAACACGGTGTTACCAGTCCTTTCCCTTGATGTTTTGCTATTTCCTGATGGAACCTGGCAGTCTGAGTGATTTGTATTTCAAGAAGCAGTTATGCTGGATCTCTTTGTTGGTTAATACCCCATGACCTCTCTGGCCATTATGAGAAATTTCAGGGATAGGAGTTGTGAAAGAGCCCTTGGCTGGATGTTTCTGGCCTTACTCTTTTGGCAAGCCATTTCATTCCCTCAGCCTCAGTTTCCACCTCCCTTCAGTGTGAGCTAGTCTGGGTGGGCTCTCAAGGCCCTTCCAGCTCTACATTCCAAGTCTGCGATTCTGATTAAGCTCTTTACTGCAGTGAGCATGTTACCTGTTGTCTCTGAGCAATGGCCCTAGGTCAAGATTAAAATAGGTCTGTTTAGTTTAACGTATCTCGGCTAAACTTGATCTGATTCTAATCTTGGTTTGAGACAGGGTCTTGCTCTATTGCTCAGGCTGGAGTGCAGTGGCGCAGTCATAGTGCACTGCTCCCTCAAACTCCTGGGCCCCAGGGATCCTCCCGCCTCAGACTCCTGAGTAGTTGGGACTACAGGTGTGTGCCACCAAATCCAGCTAATTAAAAAAAAATTAATTCTGAGCTCGTAAGGTAGAGCTGCTTGTCTTCCATTCAATTATAAATTAGGTGTTTATTGGCTGCTGCTTTCTAGAGCCTGTTTTGTGTATCCAGTGATCTGTTCATTTATGAACACTGTCAAATAGGCCCCTACCTGCAGTCTCCTGGTTTTACTGGTTGAAGTGCAAGGTTGGTAGAAACTGGCCGTCACCCCTTGTATTATGTGTATATAAATTTATAGTAAATGAATTGTGGAGTGTAGCTTTACAGATTTCACATCTTTGTTTCTCTCAAAGTTTTATTCTTAGTAACTATACATATAGTTTTATAGACTATATACATAGAGTCTCCCGTGTCTTAGATAATATCCTTAAAATATATTTTGAACCTAGATACCTACCTAGTGTTCTCTGCACAGAGTAAATGTTTGATTAAATGAGTTTCAAGGACTCCATAGCCTGATATAGGAGTACATTCAATAAATGAATTTAGGCTAGGCGCTGTGGTCCATGCCTATAATCCCAGCACTTTGGGAGGCTGAGACGGGTGGATCACCTGAGGTCAGGAGTTCAAGACCAGCCTGACCAACATGGTGAAACCCCATCTCTACTAAAAAAATACAAAAATTAGCTGGGCATGGTGGCTGGCACCTGTAATCCCAGCTACTTGGGAGGCTGAGGCAGGAGAATCACTTGAACCTGGGAGGCAGAGGTTGCAGTTAGCTGAGATTGTGCCATTGCACTCCATCCTGGGCAACAAGAAACTCTGTCTCAAAAAAAAAAAAAAAAAAAAAAGGAATTGAATCTGGGAGAATTTGCTTTTCGAGTAAAAAAATAAAGTTTGATTTTATGTGTGTATGTGCGTGTATGTATATATGTATCTGTATCCTGAGTATTTCTTTGTGGCTTCTTCAGACTTATGAAAGAGGTTGGTAACGTTACCCTTACATTATAAGTATTACAAACTCGGTTTTACAAGGTTATGTAAACTAATGGCCCTGGGGTGACTGACAGGTGCCACTTTTGTGTTGATTTGTAGAACTTACTTAGCTTTGGCATTTCCCCTAGTAAGTCCCAAGGCAAAACTAGGAATTGTCAGAGAGACATGACCAAACATGTATTAAAATTCTAGTGCGATTGGGAACTTGGTCTTCCTGATTTGTTTATACTTCAGCTAAACCCAGATACATAGTGCTCAGCAGAAATTATTCCAAATGTTGATACTCAAGACTGAAAGATGGATTAGGGAGAAGAGAAAACTTTTATTCTTGTGGACTTTTGAGGTATGAAATGTAATTATGAGAGTTTTGCTTTTCTTTCCTCCACCTTGGTCTTCATTCCTTTGTTAAGAACTATATAGTGCCCCTGAGGAGGTGTCATTATTGTTCACTAACTTACCTTAAATCAGGGGTCTCCAACCCCCAGGCCGAAGACCGGTACTCACCTGTGGCATGTTAGGAACTGGGCTGCACAGCAGGAGGTGAATGGTGGGCGAGCAAGTGAAGCTTCGTGTGTGTGTGTGTGTGTGCGCGCGCGCGCGCGCTTTGAGACAAAGTCTTGCTCTGTCGCCCAAGGTGGAGTACAGCAGTGTGATCTCAGCTCACTGCAACCTCTGCCTCCCAGATTCAAGGATTCTCCTGCCTCAGCCTCCTGGGTAGCTGGGACTACAGGAGCGTGCCATCACACCTGGCTAATTTTTGTATTTTTAGTAGAGACGGGGTTTCACTATCTTGGCCAGGCTGGTCTTGAACTCCTGACCTTGTGATCCACCTGCCTCCGCCTCCCAAAGTGCTGAGATTACAGGTGGGGCCACGCCCCTGGCCTGCTTCATGTACATTTATAGCCACTCCCCATCACTCGCATCACTGCCTGAGCTCCACCTCCTGTCAGATCAGCCCCAGCATTAGACTTTCCTGAGTGCGAACCCTATTGTGAACTGCACGCGTGTGTGCCCCTTGTGAGAATTTAATGCCTGATGGTGGAAAAGAGAACAGTCTCATCCAGAAATCATCCCCCTGCTTCCCTGTCTGTAGAAAACTTGTCTTCTATGAAATGGGTCCCTGGTGCCAAAAAGGTTAGGGACTGCTGTCAAATAATTTAATTTCTTGTGGTTTTTGACACACCAGGCATGTGCCTTCCATTCAAATGCTACGGCTACAGAGGGAAAGGGTAGCCCGATAATTATCTACCTGCTTCAAACCAAAAAGATAAAACAGTTGGCAGCTAGCTGGAGTTGCTTGCCAGGATGACCAGCGTTATGCTGGTGTGTGTGTCCATGCCTCCGGAATACTTTCCAGGGCCATCAATGTCAGTGTAAGACATGATGGAATTTACTGATGACCCAATTAATTTTTCTTCACCAATGAAGGCTCATTCCTTGAGGCATGAGTTATGCCGAAAGCCTTTGTGCACCAAGTGCTTTCAATCTGGTCTTTGAAATTGTCATAATTCCGACCAAAGAGAACCCAGACATTACTGAATGCTCTTCAAGTTACCTTATTTGCCTATCACGTTGCTTCTACAAGGTCACATCCTGAATTTCCTGTGGGACAGTATTTTCAAACTGATTCTAATGTTTGAGCTGGAACCAAAAGAATGAAACTGTTTTTACATAAATGCATTTTGCTGTCTCTGCAAATAAACTGCAACAATGTGACTGACTTGTAAATATCTTCCAAGACAGTGCTGTAATTTTCCAGTTGATTCTGCAACTTTAAAGATATAACCAAGTAAAATTAGGCTGTTCAAGGATGAATGGTCCCACAGAAGCTAGAAACAGTTTACTTCCTGCTTCCATTTATAGAAGCAGAAGAGTAATATCCACAGATAAAATACATAGACAAATTTTGTTTACTAGGTAATCTAAAACATTCCTGCTTCTCAGAAAAACAAAACCAGAAGAATATTTAAGATAAAGTATAATCCCAGCACTTTGGGAGATCCAGGCCATCCTGGCCAACATGGTGA